ACATTGACGAACTACATTTTTTTAATTTTTTTTATTTATTTTTATTTTTTCATAACTTTTGATTTGATAAAATATATTATACTGTATATTCTTATTTTTCTTACACTGATGAAACACATTGTTTATTACATTTTAAATAAATATACTAAAGCAAAACTATGGAACTTTTCTGGTGAGGTGGTGAAATGACAAAAAATATTACAGTATATTCACTTTTTTTCTTACATTAACGAATGAGTTTTTTTTTTTAATTATTATAAATTATTATTTTTTTTTTTGTTATTACATTTTAAATAAATAGACTAAAGGGATTTTATGGAACTTTTCTGGTGAGGTGGCGATTTGATAAAATATGATGAACCACTTTTTTTTTTTTTTTTATTACATTTTAAATAAATATACTAAAGCAAAACTATGTAACTTTTCTGGTGAGGTGGTGATATGACAAAAAATATTACAGTATATTCACATTTTTCTTACATTGACGAATCACTCACATTTTTTTCCATTTTAAATAAATATACTAAAGGGGTCTTATGGACCTTTTCTGGTGAGGTGGCGATATGACAAAATTATTATACTGTATATTCACATTTTTCTTTTCTTTTTCTTTTTTTTTTTAAATCTACTTTCTACATTTATATTGAGTTTATGTGTGGGGAAAGAAAAAAAAAATAGGACATGTATATTGTGATTTATGTGAACAAAAAAAGCACTGAATAAATTGCAAATTTAAAAAAAATAAATAAATTCTTACATTGATGAACCACGTTTTTTTTTTTTTTTAAATATGTTTTAAATAAATATACTAAATGGACGCTATGGAACTTTTCTGGGGAGGTGGCCATATAACAAAAATATATATTATACTGTATATTCTAATTTTTTTTCACATAGATGAGTCATGAATTTTTTATTTTTTTATTACATTTAAAAATAAATATACTAAAGCAAAACTATGGAACTTTTCTGTTGAGGTGGCTGCCTGAGCTATATGACAAAAAATATTACAGTATATTCAAATTTTTTTTACACTGACAAATCACTTTAAAAAAAGATATTATTACATTTTAAATAAATATACTAAAGGTACACTATGTAACTTTTCTGGTGAGGTGGCGTTTTGATAAAATGTATTATACTGTATATTCATGTTTTTAATTATATGGATGAACCAAATTTTTAATATTTTTTTTTAAATTTTTATTTTTTTTTTTCCTTACAATTTAAGTAAATATACTAAAGGGACCTTAGGGAACTTTTCTGGTGACATAATAGTGCTATGACAAAAAATATATTATACTGTATATTCACGCTTTTATTACATTGATGAACCACATTTTTTTATTGGATTTTACATAAATATACTAAAAAAAATACAAAAATGAATCTTGAGATTTTTTTTTTTCTTTTCTTCTTTCTTCATAATAGTTTTTTTTTTTTTTTTTTTTTTTTTTTTTTAAAGTTTAATGTGTTGCCGCTAAAAAAGAGGAAATTGTAAACATGGTGATGCTGGACCCGGAAGTGACATCACACTTAAAACTGCACTATGTAACTTTTTCATTGGGGGTCCATCATCTGCTTGTTTCTATGGAGATGTCTGGAATGTTCCACAGTGTGACATTAAAAAGCTCTGCCTTACTTTTATTATATAGTGGTTTTATAGCTCAAAAATACCCCGAAAAACAGGCGCTCTAACTGTGAGCAGGGTCGCCTCTCCACAGATCTGACTTGTAACTTGGTCTGGTTTGGTCTCCATGAAGATAGAAAGGTTTAACGCCACACTGTGAAGCATTCCAGACAAAGCAAAAACATCTCACAACACAATGCACCTTTAAAAACGAAAACAAATAAACTAAAAACAGCATCGCCGTCTTTTTTACTTCGAATATTTTGAAAGGCAGCCTTTTTATTTTCAAACCACAATTGCGTCTGACTTGTACAATTGTTCCCCTGTTTTTTCACGTAGCATACCTCCGCTCAAATTTCTCCTCCTGACTGCCGAGTCGGGGAAAACTGTGTTGTATTTCCAAAAGCGTTGATTGACTTTTAATATGACCGCCCCGAGCTTACATTTAACAGCCCAACTGCCCTTTTAGTTGGAATTGAGTTTCTTCCATTATGTGATTTTTAATCCCGCCGACCAGGGGCTACAAAAATCGATTCCACCTTTAATTGTTGTTTAGCGAGAGGCCGCGTCGTAACAGATGAGTTTGTTATAGCTTGTCAATACCAATACATTCAGTAAGAAACAGTCAGGGAAGCACAGACCGTGATGGAGCTGGCCTATTCTTGGAAATCATTTGTTCCTGATCCATTTTGCTCTTGGCGGTCAATCGGACACCATCTTTCTCAAATCGTCTATGTTCAGTGTTGATGGGAGAATAAAATATGGTGTAGGCAGTTACATTAAAAAATCAGGAAATCAATTCAAGTAAGTCTGATGTAGCCATATGTCATAACAGGATGTAATAGGTCTGTTAATGTGGTGCTGTTGTGGTTAAAAGGCACATGTTACGCTGTTTCTGATCTGTGTTATAATCTTGTACCTAGTGCCTCTGCTCAATTTCATTTCTCTCCAGTGACTAGGTCAGGAATCAGAATACACTAGACCAGGGGTGTCAAAGTCATTTTGGTCCGGGGGCCGTATCCAACCTACTTTGATCCCAAAGGGGCCGGATCAGAAAACTCATGTCATATAAACCCCAAAAATAACAATAAGTTCAAATATTTGTGCAGAGAAACACAAATCTATTACAGAAATCTTTTTTAAGTGATGCACTCTTTCTTATTATAATATTATAATATTATGAACAACCTGAAACTTTAAGAAAAATTCTATTTCAACACAAAGTTTTAACATTATCTTGTATGCAAATAGGAATAAGTAAATTTTTCTTGGAAAATCCTGCACTCGGCTCCACTTTTCTCATTTTTGACATTTTTCTGATGAGGGTGTCACGGTCAACAGTCAAAACGATCGTCCTTTAAGAGCGTTTGGAAAGAGGCAAGTCTTCATTTGTGCTGCTCTGGTGGGAGGGGCCACGTACAGAGACGCTGGAGACGCTGCTGTGATAAACACCACAGAAAATTAACAAGATTTTAATAGAAAATATAATTAAAATATTTTAGTAGATCACCCAAGGGGCACATTAAAGGTCTTGGAGGGCCGGATCTGGCCCCCGGGCCTTATGTTTGACACCTGTGCACTAGACTGTTTGCAAGTTGTAGACCGTGCACCGGCCAATCAGAGAAGAGCTGTGAAACCATGAGTGCATCCCTTTTGTGGTAGTAAACAAAGACATACATTCTGTGTTGGCAAGGATCAAGGATTTAAAGCCGGAACAAAGGGAATGTTTGGTGAATTTTATCAAGGGGAAAGACGTTGATGCCCTTCTTCCTACGGGATTTAGCAGTGATTGCTTAAATAAAAAAGTAACGAACGAATCCTAATATGAATTTGTTGTATTTTGTATTCAAGATCAGTTTAAAATGTGTTTTTGTTTTGTTTTGTTTTTTCTTGAGATTGTACGCTCTTTATTTATTGTATTTATTGACCCTGTATCCAGTATGCAGCTACAAATGATAACGATACAAAAGATTGTCCAGATAAGGCCCCGCCCCTTTATGACCCCGCCCCCCGCTGCTCTGAAGCCTGTGATTGGCCACTGCCCTGAGAGAGAGACTGAGCCATGTGACCCACTGTGTGTTTGTTTGAATCGCCCGGAGTGTGCGAGTTCTGCAAAGGGCTGGAGACCTTTCAATTCAAGAACCAGGCTTCAATATTTACCAGTATCATCTTAAAGGTTTATAGTGTAACTTTTCTGGTGGGGCGTTTGCCTTGACTTGTTTCCATGGAGATGCTATTGCTTTTCCCACAATATAGTATTAAATTTATCAATGTTGCCTTTATTGTATCACAATTGTGTTTTATTCCTAAAAACATCTATTCTTACTGTGAGCAGATTCGCCTCTCCACAGAACTGACCTGTAACTTGACCTGGTAGCATCAGAATCCGTGTATCATTTGTTCATTTGTTTTTCAGTATAAAACCAAAAATAAGAAAATGATTTCTTCATTATTTGTCTCCAAAAGCAAAATGAAAAAACATAAAACGATTCGTTTTTTCAGTTTTCGATTTTGTGTTTAAATTAATAATGGAAAAAAAAAGGATAATGACCATTTCCCGTTTACATGAGTTAAGCTGAAAAACAAGACTTTTGCGCCACGTACGGACTGGACCAGGACTGAACCAGGTCTGGGACCAGACCAGAATCAGACCGGGACTGAGTCCAGGACATAGATCGGGTCCGGAAATAGACTGGGACCGGGACCAAAACTGAGACTGGGACTGAGACCAGGAACAGGACCAGGACTGAGGCCAGGACCAGATCAGGACCAGACTGTGATTGAGATCTGGACTGAGACCGGGACCAGACCAGAACTGAAAACGGTTTAGTCCTGTTTTAGTCCTAATTCAGTCCTGGTTCAGTCCGTATACGGCACAATAGTCCTGCGTCACGGAAACGGGAAACGACCATTATCTGTTTTTTCCATTATTCATTTAAACACAAAATTGAAAACTGAAAAACAAATTGTTACACAATTTGTTACACAAAATGTTTTTGCGTCAAATAATGAAGAAATTTTTTTTTTTTTCATTTTCTTATTTTTGGTTTATACTGAAAAACAAATAAACGAATGATACACAGATTGTTATTTCCATGGAGACATTGAGACGTTGAATTCTTGTTGAACATTCCAGTCAAAGCATTAACATCTCCATGGAGACAAGCAGGTGGTGGATCCTACAACAGAAAAGTTACACGATAAATATTTAACTTTAACGCTCCAATCCCACACAGTAGACTCATATTGGTCCCCAGCCCTGGTTGTGCGTTTGTGTGCGTGTATGTGTGTGTGTGTGTGTTTGTGTGTGTGTGTGCAGTGCATCTGTATCTGTTTGTGTATGTTACAGCGTGTTAATTTGACTTTGCAGTCAGATGACAGTGCCACTGTACAATATGACGCTCAAATGTGCCAAGTGCGGAGTTATCTCTTCGGCTGACGTTTCCACCACAGCTACCAGTAACGCCATGTTAGTCCCGCTAATTATTTTAACTCTACTTCTCCTGCCTCCTCTCTCTCCTCTCCTCCTCTCCTTCTCTCTCTCCTCTCCTTTCCTCTCTCTCCTCTCCTTCACTCGATTGGTCTCTTTACTCTGTCCTATGTCATGTTTTTCTTTCCTTGTGGCGATTCGAGGGAGGATTTCTTCACAAAACACAAAATATACAATAATAAACACGTAATTACAGATTATATACAGTATTTTTGTTGCATTAACGCAGCTATAACTTCACCAAAATTAATATTAGCCTGATAAACATGGGGGCAGGACTAAAAAACAAATATTCTCCAAACTTGGGTTGATAGAAAATACGATACAATAAGGCTAGATTCACATTTGCGAACAGATTATCACAAAATTTGGACTAAACTGGGTCTAAAAATGTGAGTAAACCTGGACTAGACCAGGACCAAACCAGTGCAAGTGTGAATACAGCCCAAGTCTACACCGTTTATCAGATATTTTTCAGTGCAAAGAAATATATTCATTTACCCCTCCTGATCAAATCCACTGAACTATATATATTTGCGTTGATAATCTGTTGGAAGATGGTTATAAAAAGAACTAATTCATGACATCCTGACAGATTTCAAAATGAAGTCTTGCTAATTAACTTCGTTTCTAGTTGTGGGTCTTGTTGGTGTGGCTATAAGGCCCTTCCTACGCGACGCGTTTAAACTCATGAAATTAATCTTGCTCACATCCTTCTATTATTATTATGTGAATAAATGACATTCAGTTTTACATTCATGACAAACTGTATAAACAATGCAGATATTTTGATCGTTTACAGCTATTGACAATTTGTAGAAAGTCTGTCACAAAGATCTTTTTTTTTTTTTTTTTTTATCAACGCAGCTTTACGCTTACAAAAAAAGTTAATTTGTTTGCAAAAAAAATGAACTCAAAAACAATTTATAAAAGCCAAAACATTGCACAGTTTAGTTCATTATAATTACTGTCTTTAAACTTAAAGGTGCATGTTGTAAATTTTCTGGTGGAGAAAACAGCACCTGCTCGTCTCCATGGCGATATTATAACTTTTTTTTTTTTCTATCTAGTTTGTGTTTACTTAATTACAAGTGTTTCTGTGACTAAAAATCACTTTGAAATTAAATAAATAAATAAAAATCGTACTGGTGGCGTTAACTGCATTTCCACGGAGATAGATAGATCTAATGCCCTACTGTGGAACATTACAGGCAGACTCTACGCCACAAAACGTAATGTCGCCCTCAGAATAAAGCAATGAGTTTTAAAAAATCCAGTATTACCTCCTTTTTTTTTAGACATACTCGAGCCACATTTCAAAACCTCACGCACCAAAAGCTTAACTCTGACCCATAAATAAAACCCGAGCGAGCTGTATTTTTGGGCCATGGTGTTATCCGTAGTTGAGGTTGTCTCTGCTCTGTCCCTCCTTCTTTGGCTCCTCCTGTTGTTCTGTGCATCCTTTGCCTCATCCCACCGTTCTCCCGCCCACCTGACCCCTCCCCCTCTCTCTCCTCTCTGCTCCAAATGAACCATCTTAAACATACATGCATGGAATATATGTCAGCTATGGCCATATATATTGGACCAAATGGATGTATGTTCCCGTTTGTGACAGTAGCATAAATATTGTTGATGTGATGTTATATTTTGCATGGTTTAGACTGAAAACACACTATGCTATGCCTAATCTGTTACTATGAAAAATATCAAGCAGCTAACGTAGTCTTAAATCAACATAAAACCAGTCAAAGCTAATGATAACTTTTTAATAAATCCATTGAAACACATCCGGTGCTTTTTTTGTTTTGTTTGTTGCTGACTGCTGTTCCCCTCCCATCCTGCAGGGCGTCGCTGTGGAGCTCGTGCGTGGTGCTGCCTCTGCTGGCTCTCACCTGGATGTCGGCGGTGCTGGCGATCACGGACAGACGCTCCGCCCTCTTCCAGATCCTCTTCGCCGTGTTTGATTCTCTGGAGGGATTCGTCATCGTGATGGTGCACTGCATACTGCGGAGAGAGGTACTACAGTGGTGGTTTTCAGATTAAAGGCTCTATTCATGCTCATGTCACAAACCAGGAATACATTTGGAAAGATGCGATTACAACTTCCGGTGTAGTTCCCGACGCTGGGCTCACCGACCGACTGTGATCAAACCCACTGAAGTAAATGTGATCAGCAGTAAAATGAAGACTGCAGACGTATGTGCTGTTTGGAATCATCTTGAATTTGGCGACACGTCTCTTCTAATCGCATGTACCCAGTGCGCTCGGAGTTGTGCGTCAGTGGGGAAATTATGAAAACCGAGGTCTGGTTGTAATTGTTGATTAGTCAAACATAACGGAATGCTACAATGACATTTAGATGAAGAAAACTGGGCCTGGGAAGTTGTAATTGCATCTTTCCAAACGTCTTCCTGGTTTGTGACATAGAGACTATTCAATGTGGTGATTTTGGACTCTCAGATGGGGCCAAGAGACTTTTTGTCCTACTGATTACATTTTACTTTGCCATGAAATATCCAAAAGGTGAATGTGCAAATGTACTAGTCACTAGACGCAAGAACTCACTGAATTACAGCAAAAATCAGCATTTGAACTAGTGATGGGCGTTCGATGAAATTTTCTTAATCGATTAATCATTAACGTTTTTTATATTAAAATGATCATCATTATTATTACTATCTGCACTAATCTGCATAAATAAATTCAACTTAACGTCATATAAACCGTAACGACTCTAGAGCCACATCAGCCCGTTTGACATTATAATGTGTTTAATTCAGTTTTGTGCAACTCTCACAGAAACGAAACTTAAAACCGCATCGCTAATTTGCATAAACTAAGCGAAGATAAAACTACAGTTCTTGTGTCGCTGATGTGGTTCAATTTCTATCGGATTAAAAGACATGACTCAGTGGAATACAGGTTAGTGTGAACATATTTGTGTTTGTCAAAACCAGGACACCGTACGGGGGGAGGGAGGTGGGGACTCGTCATCCACATTGAGCGACTCTCACCTGGTAAAACTTTTTCCCACTGGACACTGAAACATATGTGCTGCTTTGTCCACTGTGCACATGGACTCACACTTGACCCGAACGCAATGGAAAGCGTGGAATTTCTTGTACAAGTCATCGTTAAATACACATTTGTGCTTTGGTACGTTGCAGATTGACTGAATGTTTGTGTCTCGCTCCTTCTGATGCAGAGACACATGTACAGACCTGTTTGGTCACACTACCCACAGCAACCTACATTTGGTTTGTCGATTAAAATTAACGTAATCGATGAAATTCTTAATGGTCAATTATCGATTAATCGACTAATCATGCCCATCCCTAATTTGAACTATATGAATTTTAGACTAATGCATTATTATTACCTGTCTACACAGGGCAAGATGAATATGCTTTACATTACTATTGTTTTTTATTTTTAATTTTCAATCAATCAGTCAAGCTTTACGACTTTCATAAAGTGCTTCACATGCAACAGAAAAATTACAATGATTAAAAACAACAGCAACCCCTCTTCACCCCATTGCTTCATCCATATTTACAGCAGTTTAAACAGAAACATAAAACATAAACCTCCTAAAAGTTATTGTAAAAATAAAAAATGGAGAGCTAAATTTAGATGGAGACATTTAAAATAAATAATCATAACAACATCTACTACTACAACTACTATTACTATTACTATTACTACTAGTACGATTATAACTATTATTACTATTACTTTGACTATTATTACTATTACTATGATTTAAAACAAGTAAAAGTTTCAATTCAAAGATACATTTTGAGTTCACTCTTAAAACACTCGTAGCAGACATCAGATCCTCATACTCGTTCCACAAACGGGGCCGTAAAAACTGAATGTCGCCTCACCGTGAGTTTTAGTTTGGACTCTTGGGAAAGTTAAAAGACCTGAGGACCTGAAGGTAAAAGCAGATCAGATAAATAAATAGGATGAAAACCATTGAGAGCTTTGTAAACCAATAAAAAAAACTTTAAAATCTATCCTGAAGCTCACAGGATTTTTTTTTTTTTACAATAACTTCAAATTATTTAAAGCCACTCACTCGGGAAAGTCATTTGGGATTTTTTACTGCACTGAAAAGCACTGACTGACTTACTCTGCGCATGCTTGCATCTCCATAAACCTGACTCTTTATTGTCCTGGAAGAGCGCCTCCTCCTGCTTGTTCTTTTGGCTAAAATCTTCCACAGTTCGGCATAAAACTTTTCTATCACCATGGAGAAAGTTCAGCACAAATTTTAACTTTCTATTTCCATAAAATCAGGCAAGTGACATGCCACCTACAGAAAGTTGCATAATGTACCTACTGTAGACTAGTAATAAGAAGTAAAACATGAAAATTAAACAAAATTCAAACATGTGTGCAGAAAATATAAGCGTTGAATGTTAAAAACTCAAGACTCAAAAAAGGACGTTTGTAGTTTATCACTGGATACTATCGCCGTTTCTGAAGTGAACCGGTCTTTACTAAATGTTGCTGTTTTAATTGCATCACCAGTAAGCAATGCTGCTGTGCTACTAATGAAGTTGTTGTTTAAAATTGTGTGCGTCAGAGATAGTCGGCGCGCGGCTTTCCACGAATGTCTACGGCTAAATAAAAAGTAGTCGTGAAATGAAAATCTAATCATGCATAACGTTTTGGAAGCAAGTAACCCAAGAATGTAGCTCTGGGCTTTTCTGGTATTAAATGAGAGCCAAAAACTCAGTGAAGCAAAACTAAACCCTAAAAATCCTAATGTGATGAATACACTCTGTTGGAACAAGGTTAGAGTGGCTGCATTAGTCCCCACTGTTTTACTCCGGCAGCTGCACCTGTGTGACGATTAAGGCTAAAGGAATTATGGACCTGTGCTGCAAAATGGGAACCAATTTCTCTTCATCTTTTTCACACTTACATAAACTAACCTTTTTCCCAATTTTTACTCTTTTACTACTACTTATACTACTAGGATGACTACTACGACTAGGGATGGGCATTCGATGAAATTTTCTTAATCGATCGTCGGAAGAATTAACGATCGATTATCGATTAATCATTAACGTTTTTATATTAAAATGATCATCATTATTATTACTATCTGCACTAATCTGCATAAATAAATTCAACTTTACGACATATAAACCGTAACGACTCTAGAGCCACATCAGCCCGTTTGACATTATAATGTGTTTAATTCAGTTTTGTGCAACTCTCACAGAAACAAAACTTAAAACCGCATCGTTAATTTGCATAAACTAAGCGAAGATAAAACTACAGCTCTTGTGTCGCTGATGTGGTCAATTTCAGTCAGATTAAAAGACATGACTCAGTTTAATACAGGTTAGTGTGACCAGATTTGCGTTTGTCAAAACCAGGACACCGTACGGGGGGAGGGGGGCGGGGCCTCGTCATCGACATTGAGCGACTCTCACCTGGCAAAACTTTTTCCCACTGGACACCAGAAACATATGTGCTGCTTTATACACTGTGCACATGGACTCATACTTGTCCCGAACGCAACGGAAAGCCTGGAATTTCTTGTACAAATCATCGTACAAGACGTACGTATACGTATACGTTGCAGACTGACCGACTGTTTGTGTCTCGCTCCTTCTGATGCACAGAGAGACACATGTACAGACCCTGTTTGGTTCACGCTACGCACAGCAACCTACATTCGGTTTGTCGATTAAAATTAACGTAATCGATGAAATTCTTAATGATCAATTATCAATTAATCGATTAATCATGCCCATCCCTAACTACGACTACTACAATTCATACTTTCTATTCAAATACAACCTGAAAATGAATTTAAAAAAAACTATTCTCTCAAACCACTCTCAAAGCAGACTTATGAAACAGCTTGGATGACTAGGTATTCAACAATAACCAAAATATCGTGATATTGTATCGTATCAAACGTCTCAGTAATATCGCAGGGCATCACAATATATCAAATTACAAGTTTCTTTGCTTAAATGTTTGGTTTTACAGCTGCAATAGCTAATAAACACTAGGAACTACATATCCCATGATTCATTTCAGTGCAGACAACATGAAGAAATCTGTTTTTGACTTGAATTCTTGGGATTATGATGGAAATAATTCACACCAAAATCTTATCAGGGTATTTTAAAAGCAAACAAGCATAAAAAAACCATCCTATCTACAACTATATGAAAATATCTCAATAAATACCGTACAGTGAGATTCATATTGTGATAATATCATTTCGAGAGATTTGGATATCGTTACATCCCTGTAGATGAACATATCAAAGCTTGTACTGATTTGGTGCACTTCAAAAAACAATATAAAAATCATGTCTTACAGAAATACCTAGAAATCTAGATCTATTGTCTTCACAAATAAACCACGACTATTAACTACATGGCAAAGGAGAAAAATAAGTTTGTCGACTAGACAAAAGTTTGTTTAGTCGAATATGTTCGAAGCTCATCCAAGCTGCTTCTTCAGTTCTTTTGCCTTTTGTCCAGTCGACAAACTGATTTTTCTCCTTTGCCATGCATTCTACCTAAACAACTGAGGGATTCTTCACATATTACCTACATGCTTTTCTTTAACATTACCTTTTATTTTGATACGATCATTAACGATACATTTTTGTGCCTTCTTTATATTTATTATTCTGTTATTCTTTATTAGTTTGTACAACCATAAACAAAAACAAAACTGGCATCTTTAAAAAAAAAATTAAAATAAGAACTAAAAAAAGAAAAAAAAAGGTATTGTGTTTCTGTTAGAGAGTTTAGTTTATGGAACAATCTGTGTGATGATGTTTATAAAAAGCTTAACACTTTAGAAGCCTTTAAAAAAGAGTATAAAGCATTATGTTTTGAAAGATATAGAGCTCTGGAATGAATGAATTATGCATTAAATTATGTTTGTTTTAATTTATATTTCGACTCTTATATATGCAGTAAGTCATAAGTGAAATTGTAAATGTAAACTTGCTGTTCATACGCTGCTTTCTTTCTTGGAATACTGTCATTGTTTAATAGGGTTTGGCATTATAAGTACTTTATACTTCAGCCTAAATCATTTTAGTCATGATCCACGGGGTTGTAGTCTGTGTTTTATTTTGTTTTGTTTTGTAGTGCTGCAAAATGACCGAATAAAACTACTACTAGAGACTTAGACTTAGACAAACTTTATTGATCCAAAAGGGAAATTATTTGGACACAGTTACTCACACATCGCAATAAATATAAAACTAAGAGCAGAAATATAAATGGAAATAGCAAATTCAACATAAGACTGGTGTAAAAGAAGGGATAATTATACAAGTGAGAATAAAAATACAGAAATATAGTATCTCAGCTGTATACAAAAGGAATGTAGTAGTGAATAACTGGACGTCTCTTGCATAAGTGTGAGTTTTTGTACAGTTGTATGGAGTAGAGTATGAATGTAGTCCTGTTTCTGTCACTGTTTGAGCGGAGCTGTAGAAGCTTCAAGCTGTAGGAACCTGCTACTACTATTTCTTCACTCGCTTTTTTTTTTTGCAGGTCCAGGAGGCGGTGAAGTGCCGTGTTGTGGATCGTCAGGAGGACACTAATGGAGACTCCGGGGGATCGTTCCAAAATGGCCACGCTCAGCTCATGGTAAACTACTTTATTAGTCAAAACTTGCATAGATAAGTTTGAAAGTTTGCATGTCCCTACTGGAGCTTAGTATTGTGGTGAAGAACACAAAAACATACCGAAACAGACATAGACACAGGCACAGACTGACTTACTTTACTTTATTTTATCAGAAAGGCAGACGAATACATGCAGAGGGACGGACTTTGTTCATTTGTAGAGGGAAAGATTTTCTCTCAGCTGGATTTAACAAAAGTTTGATTTCTCAGATTGTTCCACTCTTGTTCTGCTTGGACCAATTGGCTTCAGGTATTTGACAGAATGTTCCAGCTAGGGATGGGTATGATTAGTCGACTAATCGATAATTGAGCATTAAGGATTTAGTCGATCATTTTTAATCAACGAACTGAATGTAGGTTGCTGTGCGTAGCGTTGAATAAGAAGACGAGGCTGCGTCTGACAGCACTAACGCTGAAGTTGCAGCCTTGGAGACACTGTACCGCTCAGTGAGTGTGTTTACAGCACATCAGTGTCCCGGGTAAGATCGGGGTTTTTGAGTGTCCCGGTTTCCTCATGGTGCATGTAAACACAGTATCCCAGTTACTGCAACATAAAGTTGAGTCACATGTGTCCAAAAGACAAACACTTTTCAGTCTTTTCAGCACAACAGGAGCCAAAATAAAGTGAGTGAAATGACATTAAATAAAGAGCTGCTCTAAACCTGCACACATCTGATCTCTGAAAACATGAATCATCTCCAACACGACACACACACACAGAACAGACTCACCATCATCATCAACATCCTTCTGTCACAGAAAGAACACACATATTCCACTGAGTCTTGTCCTTTAGTCCGACAGAAGCTGAACCGCATCAGCGCACAAGGAAAGAGCTGTTTTTTCAGCACTTACAGTTTATGCAAATTAGCCATGCGGTTTTAAGTTTCATTTCTGTAAAATGTAAACAAATGTGTCAAAGCTGCATTAAACACATTATAATCTCAAACGGGCTGATGTGGCTTTAGAGTGTTTATGATTTATATGTTGTAAAGTTGAGTTTATTTATGCAGATTAGTAATAGTAATAATAATGATGATAATTTTAATATTAAAAAAAACCCTTAATGATTCATCTAAAATTGAATTCTCCCAACGATCGATTAAGAAAATTTAATCAAATACCCATTCCTAGTTCCAACTTCTTATGACCTCTTTCTGCGAGAACCAGCCCAGGGCATTTTAAGGGAATTTTAAAATAAAAGAGAACCATTCCAAGTTTTTTTAAAGGGAATTTCAATTGAAAGACAACCATTCCAGATTGAGAAAAGTGAGCAAATTCAGAGTATTAGCCGTCTTAACTAAATATTCCAGGCATATCACTCTGAATTTTTAGGGGCAGGTGATGAACTAAACTCAAAACCTGGACTAGACCATGACTAAAGCAGGACTAGGTCAGGACCAAACCAAGACTACATCAGGACTAAGCCATTATTACATTATAGAGGCAGTGTAAAGCTACTCCGTGTACATAAACTCAAAATTGTGATCAAGGTTGTAAGAAATTTTGAAATAACTTAAATATTGCCCAACTAGTTTGTATTAATACTAACCATTTTCATAATTTTGTTTTCAGACTGACTTTGAGAAGGACGTGGATATGGCTTGCAGATCAGGTACGCCTCCTCCTCCTCTTCTTGTCTTCTCCTGTCTCTACTGTATTAATCCACCATTTGTTTACACACACTTTCTTTTCATTGAGTTTGACTTTGGGGAGGTCTGTTCTGAGGCTGCATCTGTTTCTCTGAGCCCGTCTCAAAACTCCTCTGCAGCAGACGCCCGCTCCCTCCTCTTCTTCTCTTGTTCTTACGACAAACTCCCGAGTCTCTTCTTTTCACTGACGAACCGTTAAGACATAAGAGACGACACAATAGAAGCACTTCACGGCCTTTGTGATCCTCAGTGATCGAGAGACATTATATTATCATTCGCCGTTTCCTTTTTGCTCTGAAAGGTTAAGGTACATTTAATCCATCACCTGCTTGTTTCTATGGATAAGCACTTACATATTAGGGCCGGGTATCATTTAGAAGTTGCCGATACGATACATACCTCGATACACAGGCCACGATTCGATACAGTTCAATAAAAAATAAAGGCTGAATCATGGCTGTGATACTAAAAGTCTTTGTTAAACCACTTCTTGTGCAAAATTCATATGAAACACAAACATTTTAATCCTCAAAACAGAGTCAAAATGTCAAATGTGTCGCATAAATGAGTTTCCTTTCACTCCACAAGCAACAAAACTGTAGCGCTGTTACAAAATAATTTAGTAAAACACACGTAAAAATACTCTTGGTGATATATCGATACAGTAGCCCACGATATCGATACTGTATCATCACATTAAATGATATGATATATCGATATTCCGATATTTTTGCACACCTCTATTACATATATTCAGTTACAGGTGGTTTTATAGCTCAAAAATACCTAGAAAAACAGGCATTCTGACTGTGATTGACGTCGCCTCTCCACAGATCTGACCTGTAACTTGGGCTGGTTTGGTCTCCATGAAGAATTGTGAAATATTCCAGACAAAGCAATAACATCTTTATGGAGAGAAGCATTTGACGGACCCTCTGCCACAGTGGTCCCCGACCTTTTTTGCACCACGGACCGGTTTTATATCAGACAATATTTCAAGGATTGGAGGGACTTGGGGGGGTCCTGCTAAATCCTGTTTTAGTTCTGGTTTTAGACCTGTTTTAAACCTGGTTTAGTCCTGTTTTAGACCTGGTTTAGTTCTGGTTTAGACCTATTTTAGTTCTGGTTTAGTGGCGCAGCCTGCATGACGTACGGAAGGAGGGACGGTCTGTGCGACGTACGAGAGGAGGGGCGGCATACGGGACGGGGGATGGTCCGCGCGGTGTAGGGGAAGGAGGGACGTTCGGACGGTCAACACTGTGTATGGGACGGGGGGTTCGCACTTTCGTGGCCTGGTACCAAACAACCCACGTCCCAGTACCTGTCCCTGCTCTACCATAAAAGTTACACCTTTAAAGACTCGGTGTTGAAATTTGTCTTCTGCATTTGACCCGTCCTTCAGTGACGCTGGGGCAAATTGTTCAGAGCAGGAGACCCATCTCCAGATCTTGAGCTATTCTTGGTCAGGACTATCTTAGCTGGAGTATTTGACCTATTGGTGCATGTTTTGAGTTGATTGGAGAGACCAGAGTGCTCAGAGGAAACATGCAACCCAGGAATCAAACCCAGAACCTTCTTACTGTGAGGCGTGTGTGCTTCCATAACGCCATAGTGACACCATAGATGATGCAATATATTAGACAAAGGATTAATAGATATACCAGTATAGGGAACTAAATGATTTGGAGAGGAAAAAACATTTCATTGGACTTTTTTTAAGATGCAATTGTGATTAGATTCAAAATCAAGTTAGAAGAATTTTGAATTTTTAGATACTTGTTTGAGATTTTTTGTTAAAGTTTGTGTAACTTTTCTGGTGGAGGGTCCTTTGGAGGGTCTTTTGGAATGTTTCACTGTAAGGTATTAAACTTTTCTATCTTCATGGAGACCAAAAAAGAAGTTACAGGTCAGATCTGTGGAGAGGCGACCCTGCTCAGAGTCAGAATGCCTGTTTTTCTCTGCATTTTTGAGCTTATAAAACCACTTGTAATTGAATCAACGTAAAATAAACCTGTTAAATGTCATACTGTGGAACATCCAGGCAGAGCAGTGACATATCTAATAAATAATAATACATAGATCAACATGTAAAATATTTAATTCGTGCTGATCATGTTAGCAGTGTTAAGAGTATCCAGCGTCGGAGAGTTAGAGGAGTGGACAGATCGGTTTGTCCCTGGCTCAGTATCAGTGGATAATGAAGCGGCTCCTGCACTGCTGATCTGATAGTGCCTGTGCTGATATCCGCTGGGGCTGAGATCTGATTATCTCTGGAGACAGGAAATCAGCAACTGCATCTGGAAATCTACTGAGACTCCGCCACAATAGCCAACATATTAAACGACACAGAAGATGTTTTTTTTGTCTTTATGTTTGAGAAAAGCTCCCGTGAAGTATTTATCCCGCAACTCTGGGGGTTTCTTACGGTGGGATTTTGGGACATCGTGCAGTTTAAGTTTAAGCCCAGATTTTGGTTTGCTTGGAGACACTTTGATTTTAACGTTGTGCTGCTAGATGGATTGTTAAGTGGTTTCAGTTTTGAAACTCACGGCAATCTTGTAGCTCAGAGTTGGCATTGCGTCAATAATTGCTAACAAGGTAGAGAAGTAAAAAAAAAAAAAAAAAAAAACGGAAGCTACATGTGGAGCTAATATGATTAACTGAGATTCAGGAGCTGGACCACGCCTCAACCTTCTCTCCCGCCAACCACGGCTTATCTCAACCACTCCTTCAATTACCCAGAAGCCCTAATTATACGGCCCATCCCGGCAACACCGTCTGTGTCAGCTCTCTTGACCCCCTCCCTCCCGCTCCGTGTTTCTCGTCCATCCTTCAGTCCGGAGACGTCATCTTTAAGGAGGGGTGGTTCCAAATCAGCTCATCATTTGGATTAGAGAAGGAGCCCCACCCTTAATCTCCCCCCAGCCTCCATCCACCGTCAATAAATATCTTGTGGCGTGGTGCCTTATTCATCATCATCTTCGCAGCATTAGAATTCGTTCACTCGATGGTTGGCGGGTAATTTTTTTATTTAACCAATCACTGCTATTAGGTCATAACGTATGTAATGCGCCAAATCCCGTAGGAAGAAGGGCAATAACGTCTTTCCTCTTGATAAAATTCACCAAACTTTCTCTTTGTTCCGGCTTTAAATCCTCGATCTTGATAATCGTTGCCAACACAGAATATATGGCTTCGTCTACATCCATCTCGACCGCTTTGTTTACTGTTGTGTACTACAAAAGGGACCCAGACAAGAGCTTGAGTTTGACGTCATGGCGGTCTACAACTTCCGGGGTTCTTGCAAACCGTCTAGTGCAGGAGTCTCCAACCTGTAGTTCAGGAGCTACCAGTAGCTCTCCATCCCGTTATAAGTAGCTCACCAAAGGATTTCTTAATTACATATTGTACTGAATAACTCAAATTTGCTTAATTACCACTGTAAATGTGGTATTTTGAACTTTGTGCTCTAATAAATGGATAATGGTTTTATGTTTTAACGGCATCTAACTGTACAGCATCTAAGACTTACCCTCTTATATCCACTCAGTTTCTTGCGATCGATAAAATGAGTAGCTCTCTGGCATTTTTGTTTTTTAAAGGTAGCTCACTGGATGCAAAAAGTTGGAGATCCCTGGTCTAGTGTATTCTGATTCCTGACCTAGTCGCTGGAGAGAAATGGAATTGAGCAGAATTGAATTTGTTGCTCTGATTGGCTTAAACTCGTGGCTAAAATTTCCTATAACCATAGAGCTGTAATATCATTATGGCTTATATGTCAGGTTACTTTTAGTGTTGAGTGGCTCCCAGTTTTGTTTTTGGGTTCGTCTGTGAAAAATGAGCTTGTAGACGTAGATTCAGACCTGGTTTAGTCCTGGTTCAGACCTGTCGGATGGTCCTTCATTTGGTCCCAGTCAAGTCCCGGTTTAAACAATACAATTCAATCAACAAAAACATTCTTAAGGCTGTTGTCCACGAGTTTCCTTTTACTTTTTGTTAGAGTATAAGTGATATATTCAATCCAGCAGATGTTGTTTATTGAGTTCATGAGTGTGACTGCAGACTGAGACATGCAGCGCGCCATAAACCAAAAGCTGTTATATCGATGTGATGTTAGGTCAAAAGATCAGGACATGTTTGGAGATGAGAAGTGCCGTCCTCGTGCGGTTTTGCTCTGGAAGGATATCATGCAAATTGAAATGCACTGTATTATATTGGAATATGGATGTGGCAGTGCAGCTGGCAAAGGACAATGTTAAGATCCAGTAGGTCTCAGGTTTACTGCAGCAGCACAGTGTAAGAGAATAAGAAATATCTCACTTCCATGGCCATTAGAACCTGTTATGTTTTAGTTATGTATGAAATATTTTGTTATAGAAGCATAATTAAGATGAACGATTCTTGAAAGTGTATCCACAAATCTTTGGTCTAAATATTCCTGCTGCTACAGTCACAGCTGTGTGAGTCCATCAGATACAAATATGGCACTATATATTCAGGGGCCACTCTTGTCACCACACAGCTGCCTACGGCTCAGATTAATAATAATGCATTGGGCTTATATGGTGATTTATATAGACACTTCAGTCACTTCACTTTACTTTACGTCAGTCATTCACTTCCCACTCAGCGGCGTTAAGTTACCACTGGCACCACTGGCATTGGGGCAGACTGACGGAAGCAAGGCTGCCAGTCTTCGCCATTAGTCCCTCTGACCATCATCAACACTCACGCGCACACCACAGTCATACCGGGCAAGCTCGGCGGGTGTCTTGCCTAAGGACACAACAACATTTTGCAACAGAGTAACAGCCCCCACTGTGTTACCTGGTCTTCCTAGTGGCCTTGAGGTGGTAGGACCTCAATGATCGACAGAGAAATGGTCGACGTTCTCAGACCACCGCCATTCACTCACGAACCACATTCAAACTCTAGCACAGCAGCAACTAGTAGCTATTTTAACTAGTAGTATTTTGAAAGCTCATCGTGGGAGCAGGACTGCACAATGCGGGAGCGGGCAGGTGGTACGATAAACTGCAGTCCCGCAAACTAAATATGAGTGTAAAGTAAAATATACAAATGATCAGTGTATGCCTATCATACATCATTTGTGCTTGATATTATATTTGGCATTAATAAAAACATTTTCACTCGCTCGATGGTAGGTGGGTACTTTTTAATTTAACCAGTCGCTGCTATTTGGTCATAACATATGTAATGCGCCAAATCCCGTAGGCAGAAGGGCAATAACGTCTTTCCCCTTAATAAAATTCACCAAACATTCTCTTTGTTCTGACTTTAAATCCTCAATCTCGAGAATCGTTGCCAACGCACAATGTCTGGCTTCGTCTACATCCATCTCGACCTCTTTGTTTACTGTTGTGCTGTTCCACAAAAGGGACCCAGACAGGCGCTTGAGTTTGACATCCTGGCTTCACAGCTCTTCGCTGATTGGCCGGTGCGCGGTCTACAACTTCCAGGGTTCTTGCAAACTTTGAGAGGAGGCACTAGGTGGCATCAGCCTGGCTATGTGTTTAGAGCTTAAGAAAGCGAATGTCGGGCAGGAGCTGGACAAAATACCGCAGATGTGAGCGGGAGCGAAAATGAAAATTACAATTCTTTGCGAGCTCGAGTGAGACTGAAAATTCTGTCCCGTGCAAACCTCTACTGTCCACACCCTTGAGAACAGCTCGCCAAGAGATTTCTGAATTCTTATTATGTATTGTGATGAATAAGTAAAATTTGATTCATTACCATTGTGGATAATGGATAATGATTTGTTTTACAGGCATCTAACTGTTCCACGTCTAAGGCTTGCAAAAGGCTCTTATATATACTTAGTTTCTTTGCGACTGCTAAAATAGGTAGCTCTCTGACATTTTCGTTTTGTAGCTCACTGGAGAAAAAACGTTGGAGACCCCTGCTCCAGCACCTCTGCCATTGATATCTTAAAATGATCTGACCTCACATAAGCACAACCTTTTCCCTCATACAACACATATAATACTAAAACTGCTGCATCTGTCTCAAAAAGCAGAGAGTATATATAAGGTATAAAAGGTATAAGCCGACAAAAAACAGTGTCATAACATTAAACACACTAGAAATGAATGAAAAGGAGCAGAAAGAAGAGTCATCTTATGTTATCTTCCCCCTTTTCTAAACAGATCAATACATTTCTCTTCAATCACAAATAAGAATCATTTGCAAACAGCTATCTCAATTTTCTCCTTGTATTTCATTCCGTGTCTCATTTTTCCCACCAGGTTTTCCCCCTCAGGCTCATTCCCAGACGCCCCTAACCCCTCCTCTCTCTCTGTCTCCGTTTGCAGGCACGGTGAAGCGCTCCTCTCTGCAGGGCGACGACAAAGCCAACGCCGGGACCCTGACACTGCAGAAGGGCTCCAACTTCAACACGATGCCCGCGAGCATGGCCAAAGTGCACCTCCAGAACGTGGCCGACTACACCAGCCACACCCTCACCATGAGACGAGAGAAGGGGGCCACCAAGGGCATCAGCACCGAGCTCCCGGGGGCCAAGTCTATTTACATCTGCGACGGCGAACTGTTCAAGCAGCTCGACGGAGAGATGCCCAGAGGAAACGGCGAAGGGAGTAGCGGAGATGGTAAAGGTTATGTTATAATGCCGACTAACAACACAGGGACTCTAAAACCATCCAAAAGCAAGGACGACAAGTATAACATTAACATAGAGCAGCTACCCCAGACTAGGCTCATTCATTTGGCTAACCCCGCGACCGGAGAGCCAGGATTCGGTCTGAAGACGCTACCCGCGGATCAGGTTAGCGTGTCCTGCTCCGAGAGGGATTCGCCGGCCCATAACCTGCACCAGACGGCGGCCATGAACGGAGCAGGGGATTCTGGGAACTCCGGCGTCATGACGAAGAGCGAGACCGTGTCCACGCTGTCCATGAGTTCACTGGAGGTAAGATCAGCAGCGGGTTTCTTCCGTTATGTTCAAATTCATACTTATCACGTTTCCTATATGCATGTTTTTAAATGTCATTACGTCCGATGGTACCACACCGCGCATAAATTGTCCAAATCTGAAGAAAAAAAATAATGTTAAAGGTGCAATATGTAACTTTTCTGATGGAGGGTTTGCCCGTTGCTTGCTTCCATGAATATGCTATTTCTTGGCCTGAAATGTTCCACAGTACAGCATTCAACTTGCACTTTACCTTATTCTTATCTTGGTGTTGTCATTAGTTTTGAAAAACATGAATTCTTACTGTAAGCAAGCTCACCTCTCCACAGATCTGACCTGTAAATTGGCATTAGAGTCTGACTGATATGGATTTTTTTGCGACTGATATGATATTTTTTGCAGCCGATATATTTAGATGTAAAAATTCACAATAAATCTTCAATTGATTATAAAACTTAGGTTTGATTCTATTGGATTTTAAATTGGGTTTGTTTAGGTGACATTTATTGTTACTCTGCCTCTTTACAGTCAGATTTAAAGACAATAGGTAGGACTAATGGCATTTTTGTATGACATTCTCGCCAGTAAAGAAAGTAAGTAAGTATGCATGCGTAAATACCGATCATTCACACCTCTATTCACAGCTCATGTACATATCAATGCAGGTCCAAAAACATATATACAGCCACTACTATAGTCACTTTACAGTAGGCCAATGTCAGACAAAACTGGCTGTTTATGTGTGAGAGCTACAGCAGCTAAACTATGACAAAGAAACAAAAGTAGCTTCAAAACCGACAAATGTGCAACACTCACCTCTCACACAGGCTCCTCTCAGATCACAAGTTTGCACTAATAAGTGTCCTTTCAATCCTGACTCAAAAAGACCGTCCATATAAAGAATATAATCCATCATGATGACAGCAGCTACGTGTGTAAACCGGCGCATGTCTGTGATGTAACTCTGGGCAGTACAGCCACAGACAAAGACAAATGACTCCGGAGATAAATACTGATGCGGAGCCACATATTAAGACATTTATCTGTCTGTAAATTGTATTAAATTGACATAATATAGAGATTCTAAGCTTTATAATGAGGTATAACATGCCCACGTGGACTATCGGCCCATATCAGCAAGATTTAGGTCGATATCCAATATGTCTCCAAGGGTCCATAATATCGGCCAACCGATATATCGGTCAGGCCTTACTTGGCATGCCTATTTTTATAAAGATGGATAAGTTTAGAGTAACTGTACCAGATTTTTTCATCTCTGCATGATGAGTTTAAAAGTGCATTTCACAACTTTCAGAGACCATGACGATAAAATTAACAACAATTAGCATGCAAACAGCACACTTCCTGATTATCAGACTATGAAACGCTTTATAATTAGATGCAGACAGAACAGCAGACTTATTTTGACCTCGAGAGCTGCTTATACAATAGATCTGTACTGGAGCAAGACGAATTTTGCTCAAATATATCGTCAAATACCATCCTGCAAATGTCACCATGGAGACAAGCTGGTAGTCCTCACCAGAAGAGTTCAAGATTGCACTTTTAACATTTTGGAAATGACATTCAAAAACATTTATTGTCAATTTATGTCAGTGTGGTATCCATCACCTTATTTTTATTTTGAATCAGTCAGATTTTCGTTGTATTTTTTTTATATATATCTCTTCATATATCAATGTGAAAGATGCCCAATATTCATGTTCCATCATCTTTTGTTTTGTTGGCACAGACATACAGCCATCCATCAACTAAAACATGGAACAGAATCACACTATGAAAACAACCTGCTCTGTTTGACGAGCACAGCTTAAGTGAACGGAGATGACCAACGAGGGAGGCATACCATAATTAGTTCAACCACGTAAAGTTAATTTCACAAAATAAAAACGTCTCCGAGGACAGCTCTGAACTACCCTCCTCTCCTGCCCAGATCATATTGTGTTTTAATAATGGCTCCCTTACTGCTGTGATTATCAAATTAATACCAGGCTCCACCTTATCACTTAATGTATCATGTTTAATGGACTAAAATGGCCAGGAGGAAGCTGGGACTATAAACAGGGCCAAAGACGAAGTAGGGTTGTGAAGTTACAGTTTGTGGTGTTGCAAAATTAGCGAGATTAAAAGAATTATAAAAATGAATCAACCCATTAATGAGAATAAAGTTAATACAGTATTTTCCGGACTATAAGTCGCTCCGGAGTTTAAGTCGCACCAGCCCAAAAAATACGCAAGAAGAAAAAACAATATAAGTCGCACTTTTTGGGGAAATGTATTTTATAAAATCAGAGACCAGGAACTGACATTTTATCTTGAAAGGCAAGTTCTAGTAATAACAACAGAACAGAGAACAACAGGAATAATGTTAATATGTTAACGTAACATATCAACAGTTATTCAGATAATTATATCATAAACAACAAAACATAAGTTTATCAAACTCACAATCTCACTCCAAATCACTAAATCCATTGAATTCTTTATCCTCTGTGTCACTTCTGCGCGACCTCCGGAGATAAACCATAGATCCATGATGTAAACATTGCGCCGCTTCCTCTTCTGTGTCGCTGTCGTCAGACTCAGCATCAGTTCCAGTTAGAATTATTCCGGCCTTTCTGAATCCCGACAGGATGGTTTCGGTTTGTCTCTGAAGTCCAGGCTTTGTCGTTTCATCCAGTGACTTCCAGGAAAGTTGCATGGTGCATCCTCTCGGTTGCCGTGAAGCTGTGTTCTCCATCCCTGCTTTCCTCCAGTCCTTCACAAGTTTCTCGCTCATTCCAAACTTTCTTTCCGCTGCTCGATTACCATTTTCGGCTGATTATTTCCCTATTTGCAGCAAGACAGCAGCTTTTTCTACAAGAGGCATGTGCAGTAGAGTGAAGTGACAGTGGTACAGGAGTAATAGTAGTACTAGATACTGACACAAAAGCCTCACGCTCCCTCTCGCGGCTGTCAGTCTGAAAATTTTAATATATAAGTCGCACCGGAGTATAAGTCGCAGGAAACACCCAAACCATGAAAAAAAGTGTGACCTATAGTCCGAAAAATACAGTAATCCATTAGTGCATCCAAAAAAAAAAAAAAGATGCATTTGGATTTGAGACAAAATCTTGATTCTTTTTTTTTTTTTTTTTTGTATCTTTAAAATATGAGATAACTATTTTTTTTTAAAGATAAAATAAACTTTTATTTGTTTATTTGTGTCACAATGGGGAAATTAAAGTGTTGCAGCATAAAGTTTAAGGAGTAGGAGAATAAGAACATGCAATCAAAATCAAGCTCAAGATAAGACAATAAAAAAACCAATAAAGATTTAAGTAGACATCAAAACTATCACAACACTGTTCAGCAGAGAAAAGCGATAAGGCTACAAAACTTTTGTAAAATCGGAATCAGAGAAAGAAAATGTTATACTAGCTGCAAAATATAGTGTTTAGAAATGTCTCTGTTTATTACAAAGAGATTGCATCTGGTCAAGAAACTAGTAATTGTGAACACAGCCAAAATACTCTTCCTATATTCAAAAAAGATTTATTCAAAGTTATACAGATTAATATAGTCTTTTTCAAAATCTCAAAAGTGGTTTATTTCTGAATACTTCTCAGAAACATCCGCAGTTTTCCGGTCTAAAGTTCACTCGCAAAGGTTACTCTCCGCTGAGGATGCAGTGCAGCATTAGATGTTAAAGTGACCTGGATGTGTGCCCATCGGTGTCTTTTCACTGGAGGGCAGAATCGCCACGGTAACACCATGTGATCCGGCAGCTGCCACATCTGCGGAGCCGCGGGTCAGGCCTTCCTCCACCGCGCCGTGACGAAGAGCTTAAAGGGCGCGTTCACAATCTGTTAACAGCAAACTCAGGCCAGAACATGTTTCAAATGCTATGAAATTCTGCAACACCAAAACGATGACTATTTTCACTCTTTTAAAACGTATAAACTAGTTCTCAAAAATATTTGTTCGTGTTAATTTCATTTTTTTAAATCGGTTGATCTTTATTTTTTTGCTCCAGTAATCACCCCAGTAAAACGTGAAAAAAAAAAAGACTTTTTACCAACAGATTTCTCAGACAACATATGTCCATATTAGATTTTGTTTCAGTTTAACATTTTTGCTCCAAGAAATACTAAATGCCCAAAATATTTTGCTTGGCCTGTAGATTTTTTATGCATAAATTAAAATAAATTCATCAAGTTTCCTCAGCTCAACAACATTTAACATTTTTCCAACACTAAATGCTAATAATTAGACTTTTATGTGCTTAATAAACCAATTAATTTGAACTCAAAATAGGTTTCCACACACCCACTAATGAGCTAAATTAAGTTTAAACTAAAGGGACTAATTGAGGAATAAGAGCACCACAAACTGTACTTTCAAAGCTGTTAAGCAAAGCCTGAACATTCACATTTATTAATACCCTCAAATATATAAACTGTTTAACACCAGTCTTGTCTTGTTTATTTTATTTATTAACAAATCTTTATTTCTTGAGTGAGACTGAACAATAATATCCCTTTAAAACACTGTTTACAAAGTAAAACCCAGACCTTACCTTTAATCTGTCTCTCATCTTCCCCCAGAGACGAAAATCACGCTATGCAGAGCTTGACTTTGAGGTAATTCTAGTCTTTTTTAATCCTCTCTAAACCAAAACACAGTTGATACATTGATACTGGTAGCGTTAGCGTTTTGAGTAAACCCGGTGGTGTTGTGTGCGCTGTCCCTGTAGAAGATAATGCACACGAGGAAGAGACACCAGGACATGTTTCAGGAGCTGAGCAGGAAGACGCACACTGATAGAGAGTCTCCACCAGAGGGCAGAGCGGCCAAAAGATGGAGCGTGTCCTCAGCCAGCAGTGACAAGACCAACATGAGTGTAAAGAACCACGCCTCCTGTCCCGACCCTCCTACCCCTGTTTACCTTATATACCTATACACACCCCCTTATATACCTTTACCTATACACACTTTTATACACACTCTTATATACTTTTACCTTATACACACCCTTATTTACCTTTACCTATACACACTTTTATATATCTTTACCTTTACCTGTACACACCCGTATACACCTTTACACTATATACACGCTTACATACTTTTACCTGTACACATCTTTATACGCCTTTACCCAGTGGTCCCCAACCTTTTTTGCGCCATGGACCGGTTTTATGTCCGACAATATTTCGCAGGCGGGGGTTGTGGTGGGGGGGTGAGGTGCGGACCGGGGCAGGGGTACCGGCGCCCTTAGGGACAATATTTTCATAGACCGGTGCCGTACGAGAGGAAGCAGGAGGAGGTGCGGCATGGCTTAGTCCTGGTTTTAGACTTGGTTTACACCTGATTTATTTTTGGTTTTAGACTTGATTTAGACCTGGTTTAGTCCTGGTTTAGGGCACGTTCACACCGCAGAGTTCAATTATTTGGTCCGCACCAGGCAATAAAATTATTATTATGTAGCATATAGATTCCAGTGTGGTCTGCTTTCACACCGGCAAACGAACCAAATTTGGTCAGATTGACGTTTCATCAATGTTTATCTTCCGAAAGAAATAACTGCCCATTTGGGGTCAGCCCGACGTTCTCCCGGGAAACATTGGTACCGCTTGATTTCATGTGGATCCGAGTGCGATTGATGCTTTCACACCAACGAAAACGAACTGAACTAAGAGCTTATGGTTCAAATGGACCTGTTGGTGCACACCAACTACTGTCGGTGTGGAAACACCTTTAGTCCTGGTTTAGTCCTGGTTTAAGTTTAGTTTAGTTTTCTGGTTTTAGTTTAGTTTAGTCCTGGTTTTAGTTCTAGTTTAGTCCTGGTTTTTTAGTTTAGTTTAGTTTAGTCCTGGTTTTAGTTTTGGTTTAGTCCTGGTTTTAGTTCTAGTTTAGTCCTGGTTTAGTTTTGGTTTAGTCCTGGTTTTAGTTCTAGTTTAGTCCTGGTTTAGTTTTGGTTTAGTCCTGGTTTTAGTTCTGGTTTAGAGATGCGGACCACGAGGCATGGTCCAGATGGCATATGAGAGGACGGGTTCGTGCTTTCACGACCAAACGACCCAGGGCCCAGTACCGGTCCCGTTCCCGGGGGTTGGGGACCCCTGCCTTTACCTGTACACAACCTTATATACTTTTACTTGTACACAACTTTATATACTTTTACTTATACACAACCTTCTATATTTTTACCTGTACACACCCTTATTTACATTTACCTATACACAATCTTATGTAGCTTTACCTATACACAACCTTTTATACTTTTACTTGTACACAACCTTATATATTTTTACCTGTTCACACCCTTATATCCCTTTACCTATACACACACTTAGGAGACATACGACTTGGTTTAGGTTTACTGGTACTACCCTAACTCATTTAACTTCATGTTGAGAAAAAGTTAAAATAGAAACTAAACGATTTAATAATTGATCGAGATATATCACTTAACTTAAAGTAACACTGCGTAACTTTCTGGAGGTGTCCTGTCACCTGCATGAATCCATGGAAACAGAAATTTAAAACCATACTAGTGTCATTTTCCGTGGACATACAATATTATAATCAAAGGAACAATATTTCCGTGGAGACAAGCAGGTGAAGGCGCTTTCCCAGGTCAAATAAGAGTCAGGTTTGCTCACAGTAAAGACGAATTCAGAAGTAGGACATTTCAAATCTCCAGTCTTATTTCGGTGACTTCTTTGGTTACGCAGCCTCACAGAGCTGGGTCCATGTTGGCCTGTAGCTGCCTCATCTCCATGGCACCAGTTTATTTCTTCAGACATAATCCATCCTCCTCCAGAGCTCCATTCATCCCACAGCTCTGAACACTTGAGCACGTAGCCACCTTCAGACTAAACTACAAAACTCCAGCAGCTTATTTGAAGTTACCTTAATGTCTTTAGTTAACAAGAGAAACAGAGAAATCAGTTCTCCCAGATGTGCTCCAGCTGCCGTCAAAGATAATGAGTAATTAGTAGATTTAACAAGTTTGCCAGCCCATTTTGGTGGTTTTGGTGCCAATTTTGACTCAAATTTGGCAGCAAAATATAATTAGTTTTGCCGTCAATCACCCTTAAGAGAAATTATATTGTAATACATGCAGCAATTATGGTCAAAAGACAAAATTTTGAAAAATATAAATGAGTTTGAGAACACAGGATACTGACTAGTGAATGTGAGTACCAATTTAGCAGCAGTAGTAGAGTAGTTTAATTTTGATATTATTACAGAAACTGACTACATAACTGTTAACTTTAGTATTTAAAAACAAAATTACCTCAGATAAACGATAATGTAGCAATAATAATAATTTGCTGGTTGTATCACTTTTTCTATTTCTATTCATGGGTTTCAGGCACAGGATTCCTTCTTGTTTTGAAGGATTTGCTGCGTTCCTCTGTTGTTATTATAGACTATATATGTATATTCCAAAAAGAAAGTGAGCATGGCTGCGATTTGGTTCCATCGACGCTGGTTCCAATTTACTTTCTATTGAAAAATCGCCGCTTGTCTCTCTTTAACTGTTTCCGTAAGCCTTGTCATTTTGGTCTTAAAATATGAGTATTAACCCGCTGGACATAATTCTCCAGTTTTTAATTCACAATTTTGTTTATAAATCTGTATAAACGTTAATTTTACATGTTAGCAGCTTTAACTGCAAGCCTCAATGAGCTTCATTTGGCTGGAGCTGAATGCTTAAAGTGACATTACTCTCCCGCAGTCCACTACTTTATATTTCTAAAAGAGGTGGGACCAAGTCGTTGTTTTGCAAGTCTCACGTAAGTCTCAAGTCTTTGACCTCAAGTCCGAGTCAAGTCCCAAGTCAAAGACAGGAAAGTCCAAGTCGAGTCTCGAGTAACTGGCCCATAAGTCCAAGTCAAGTCCAAGTCGTCTGCTTTGAGCTTCAAGTCACTTTAAGTCTTTAAGTACTAAATATATCTTAGATTTTTGCAGTTTATATGAATTTTAAACTAAATTGTACTTAAAAAGTCGTGGAATATTTATGTTTGAGTATTTATATAAGAGTTGTAGAAATGTTCATTTTTCCTTTTTAAATGTCTTGACAAGATCTTAGTGTGAATCATTACAGCCAAAATAGAAAGAATACTGATTTAAAAGCGCTAAATAACAATTATTTTGTTATGGAGTTCTATGTAGTTCTCTCTGTTTTACTGCATTTTACTATGTATTATTGTAGTACATTTGATGATCCAATATCACAGTATTTCACAGTACTTCAGGTGCATCCAAAGTAACAAACAGAGAAGTGGGAGTGACATGTTCCAGTTTGTTCCTGTAAAATTAAGCAAAGCATTTATCAGCTATAAAGACTTTTCTTTTTTTAGAAAATAATTTTTTTTTAGGAGAAGCATCAAATCTTCTCAAGTCACAGGCCTCAAGTCCAAGTCAAGTCCCAAGTCTTTGACCTTCAAGTCCAAGTCGAGTTCCAAGTCTTTGTCCATTTTATCAAGTCAAGTCTCTAGTCCTAAAAATAGTGACTCAAGTCTGACTCGAGTCCAAGTCTGTCCATATTGTCTGTGGAAAGATCCTCGCAAAACTCTTCAAATCAGGAAGGAATCATTCGCCTGAAACCCACAAATATCAAACTTAGAATTAAAAATATTGCAAAGCTGGTTATCAAACAGATATTACAGTTTATCAAAATCAGCACAATTATTAAAAAAAAAAGAAAACTGTTATGATCTTGAAACCGTTCTTACTTGTTTTTACTTGTGTGTAGGAAAAGCAGCAGACCCCCAGTAAGCGGGGCTGGGAGGGCATCCGGAAGCCCCACTCTCCCCCGTCTTGGGTGCGCAAGGACCTGGAGACGGTGGCCGCGTCCCCCCTGGAGCTCCAGACGGTGGAGTGGGAGAAGAACAGCGCCACCATCCCTCTGGTGGGGCAGGAGATTATGGACCTACAAACTGAGGTGTAACTCCGTCCTTTTCAAAACGTTCTCCACCAAAACAAGACAGACGAAGCAGACGAGAAATAAGGTACACTGCCCCGCGCCGTTGAAAAAGAGGGAATCGATAAGAGGAAGTTGAAATTTACGGAGAGATTGTGAACGCAGCGTCTACTTTTATGTGTTAAATTTCTGATGTTATTTGAACATTTTTGAGGACGAGTTATTACAACTAAAACAGAATCACAACGACACCCACGCAGTGTTCACTCCTTGTATTCAATGGTTATAACTTCCACCATCTTTGAGTTTATTTTTCGCAACGTCGCGCTGTGTTTTCGCTCTCTCTTTCAACAAATTCTTCTTGAAAAACTAAAGACGAGACTATTCAAGTTCTCCGTGGTGGAAATCCCAAAACTCGACTCCTTTTTTTGGGACTAAAGTTGGGACTGTCTAGCGCGCGGAAAGGAGCGGAAAAACTTGCAGGTTGCCTTCTCAACTCCGGACACTGAGAGACGCTAGAGCGAACCCCCCCTTTCCCTCCTCTCGAAATGCTCCGCGCTCGATCTAGCCTCTGTGAAAAAACCTCAACTCCACTACGGACCGGACTGCGAACAGTAAGTGCGTCTACGGAAAGCCAAGAACGGTTCGTGTACTAGCAGGTTTGGTACAAAAAAATACAACGAAGGATTTAAAGGAGCTTGTGTGTTTGAATGCGCGCGTGTGAATCGAAAGTGAAAGACGAGAATAAATGAGTCTAGATCTATAAATATATATATGGGAAGGTGGAAATGGAAGTGTTATTGCGACGGTAGGATGCACACAAGGAGAAAGCACAAGGCTCATACGGAGTCCTGATGTACAGCAATGTAATTAATTCAGAGTTCTACAGAATGGATTTTAGCCTATAAATATCTTTCTTACTGTGCTTGGGGATAGTTGTTATCATTATTATAAATATGAACCATGTTTATTCTGGTACTGACCCCGCCCCCCTCTCACGCCCCGCCCACATTGTCCATATCTGGGGTGTTATGTATCGCAATGTAAACAGTGTGTGTTTTGATATCACCTCCGATTCACTTCCTCCCCCCTCCACCCAGAAACGTATTTGTCAAAAAAAATAAAACAGCGTACCTCTCATGAACTTTGACCCCAGCAGTACCCACCTCCTCTTTTTATTTTCCCGGGGTCGACTCTTTGTTAATGTACAGTTTTCAGAGCACAAAATGAATGTGTCTTATTTCTAATAAAAGCATATCTATATAAATAAAGAGGTCTAATGCTCGTGTGTTTTTCTATGTTGAATCTGTCAGTTTGTGTTCACACGTACACACATTATTACATTACACACACTTGTACATTCATTCAGCACATCAGAATACATGCATCCTGAATTTTGGACTTACGATCATCGCGCAATGCATACTGGGAGGGATCCTGCGAAAAAGTGAGCATCAAACCGTCATGTTTGATTTCCCAGTGGGATGTGTCTGTTGACAAAGCCGATCTTTTCAAGTCTTTTGAACCATTTCACTTTTGTTTCTGGTTCTGATATTGTCATATTTTAGTTTTGGGATTCGGACATCGTAATTGTGTGGTTGTTGGATCCTAACAGCGGAAAACAGGCTTCGGAAGTTTGCAAACTTCATAACTGCAAAAGGGATACAGATCTGTGTGACTGCAAACCTCCGTTCAAACTGTTTCTCTTCCCAACAGAACTGAAAAATATTGAAAGGTGAAGGCGATGGGCAGGACTGATCCACAGGAAGGACCAAAAAGGAAACCTTTAGCTGCCTAAGAAATCATACTGAGTTTGCAGTGAACATTTTGTATGTGGAGCGCCAACAAAGAAAAATACAGTTTGTTAAGCGAGAGGTACAGAAGACAAACAGGCTGAGCTGCACTTTCTTGTTCTTGTGGTTTTACAGCAGCATCACGTCTTGGTCACTTTGCAGGGGAACGTGTTTCTTGGCGAACAGCTGGTGTCTTTTGCTTTGGCGTCGACTTTTTAAATTCGTACCCAAGGTTGAGTGAGGGATCAGGATTTTGCTTTGCTGTCACTCCACATACAAAATGTTCACTGCAAACTCAGGATGATTTCTTAGGCAGCCAACGGTTACATTTGTGGTCCTTCCTGTGGATCAATCCTGCCCATCACCTTCACCTTTCACTATTTTTCAATTCCACTGGGAAGGGAAACAGTTTGAACAGAGGTTTGCAGTCACACAGATCTGATTCCCTTTTGTAGTTATGGAGTTCGCAAACTTCCAAAGCCCGTTTTCTGCTGTTAGGATCCAACAACCACACAATTATGATGTCCGAATCCCATAACTAAAATATGACAATATCAGAAGCAGAAACAAAAGATATATGCTTCAAAAGACTTGAAAAGATCAGCTTTGTCAATAGACGCATCCCACTGGGAAAACAAACATGGCGGTTTAATGCTCACTTTTTCAGAAGACTAAACCAGGACTAAATCTGAAAACTAATCAGGGACTAGATCTGTACTCAAGTAAGACTAAACAAGGTCTAGAATAGGAACAAACCCAAGTCCAGATGAGGAGTAAACTGGGCTCAAATTAGGACTGAATAACATTAACACTGATATTGGGTCTTAAACAAGAACTAAACCTGGACTAGAGCAGGACCAAACCAAATCTAACCAGGACAAAACCAGCGGTCCAAACCAAGTGTGAACATTCCCTCAGAAGCTTGTCAATGTGGCATTTTACTCCCCACCAAACAGACGGCCAATCAGCTCCTCCTCCTGACCAAGACCCTGGCATGTCTTGGCTCTGGAGATTGTGTCACTCAACACTCCCAACACATATTTACCTTAAAATGGAACTAAACCCCCAAACTCCACCCAGAGCCACTGTCAAAACGAGCTGTTGAACTTGGAGAGATTGAGAGGTTGTGCACTTCAAACTCCACTCACCCCTGCAGTTGTGTGTCTCATGACATGACAGTTGAATTCTGGAGGTTCTCTGGAGTTTTCACATGAAGCGTGGCCTTTCCACATACTGAGAAAAACTTTAATGTGTCCTCTATATGCAGGTTTAGCCCAGATTCACTTATGATTTAGTACCTTTATATAGAAATGAAAAGGTGCAGGCTACATACAGCTCCTTTAACCTAGTTTGGATTCAATTGTAAAACAGTACAGTGCACTATAGAGAATAATACTTAAATACCATGAACACAGTTTAATTGGGAAAAAAAAAAAAATAAGTTATTTGTTTTTAGTCCCACTAGTCCCACTTAGTCTTGTTTCTTGCACATTATATTCTCATCCTGTATCTTGGACCTAAGTAATTAAAACAAGAAAACATTTTTTTTTTGTCCTTGTTTGGATCAAGCACATGGAGAAAAATATAGAAAGAACTTGAAATGATCATGTTGTCTCTCTGTCCTCTGTCTGTGGACACTTGGACAAACACAATGTAGAGCCGGGAGTCATGCGTCATCTTCTGTGATACACACTGCTACTTCAGTGCTCCTGTCTGCTCCTGTCTGCTCCTGTCAGGTCAAAGGTCAACAGGAAGGATGCACAAGGAAGACGGACGAGGAACCAACATCAGACTCTGGCTAAAAACCTTCCGTAAATGTATTTTTGTTTATGTAGCAAAGTCATTAAAGTCATAATAGGGCTTGTGTTTTGTTTCAGTCCCTCCTCTCTATCTTCTCTTGCTTGGATCGGTTAGTGCTCTAACTAATGTTATACACTTTACATTTAAATTGCATCATAAATGTTTTCTTGGGCTTATCATGGCAGAACTACACTCCACTGCCCCCTGATGGTTTCCAAAGAAATAAAAATGATCAAGTGTTAAAGACCACAACAAAGTCTAATCAGTTCTGGGGTGACTAATGACTCTAATGTTACTATTAAAACTTAAAATCAAAATCTTAAAGCTTCAGATCTGCAAAATATGATGTGAAATACAGCCTGTTGAATAGATCTTACCAAAAGTGATCATTTTTTGAATATATCCCATTAGAATAGCATATAAAATACAAATCAAGATCACAAAAATATTTCAAAATTTTAATATGAAATAGATCAATTTGTTAATTATCTAAATACATCTACTTTTTATTTATAATTTGATAATTATTCTATAACCACATAAAAAGTCTACTCCTGTCAGTAACACTCATCTCTCAGCACGACTTAGTCTAGTGCTTATCAAACTTTTCACATCCATTTAGTTCTATAAAAGTTTAAAGGTTCATAATGACAGAAAACTCTCTCTTGTGAGCTTTAAACCATGTTATAATGTTGTTACATCCTCAAAAACAGACCTAGAGTTGTGTTTTGTTTCATTCACACATTTGAGTAATCCTTTATTATTAGTCTGTTTACATCTCCAAACCTCATTTTGCTTTATCCCACCTTGTGATGTCATGTGGTAATACAGGAAGTGCTCCCCTTTATTTTCAAACTCCATACACCTTCACTTGACTCATTTGGATATTTTTCAGCTCTGGAATTGCCGATCTCTACTGAACAAAAGCAGAAAAGTAGCTGCAAAACTACCACTACATGACATCGCACGGTGGAACAGAGCATTTTGGTTTTGGTTTGGAGATTGTTATGGATCCAGGTCTCCAATTCTTTACCTTGTTTTGTGTGTGTTTTAATTTCTTTTTCTGTCCCTTTAATTTCTGCTGTTTGTTTATGTGATTTTTCTTTGGGAAACTTATAATTTGTTGTGTATTCCTCGGTTTAGTCACTTGATTTTTGTATAAGCCTACGTTTTTGACACAAACCCGTTATATGTTAATCCTGTTATTTTGTTTCTTAGTTTAGGTTATTTTCTGTACATATTTTAGTATGTTTTGTTAACACTTTTACATTCCTGTTAATTAAACATTACTTAATTTAGACCATTTTCCACATGGTTTTTTGTTAGTTTCCTGACCCTCGTGAGTTGGGTCATAGCAGAGATGTAGACAGACTACCGTATTTTCCAGACTATACAGCGCACCTGAATATAAGCCACATCAACAAAATTTTAACAAAATTTTTAAATTGTACAT